GTCCCGAGGAGCGTTCCTGGGTTCCTTCTGCGGATGTTCATGCTCCTGCCCTCCTCTGCGCGCTTTTCATGCCCGCTTTCCTCTGAAGCCTTTTGTTGAGCCGCGGAGGGGCCCTTGAGGAGGAGGTACTGTCAAGGTCCTACCTTTTCCCAGAGGTTATGCTGCTCCATGTGCTGGCATCCATCTTGGATCTTGGTGGGAGTCTTTTATGCCTTCAGGCCTCTGCAGTCCATCCCCCGGAGGGGTGTGGTTGATCACATATAAGCCTGTTGTCCGCACATGCCCTTTGCATTCGTGTCTTGTATGTTTGTGTTGCAACAAGCTCTGTTTCTACTCTCGTGGCTCTCCTGGAAACTGACTCGGTTTTTGACTAGACTATTCTCTGCGTTATCCCTTTATCTGACCTCCCATTGCTGAACCCGGCTTGTGACCTGTTATTCTTGTCTACCGTTCTGTACTGTCTGTCCCGTTGTTATCGACCCGGCCTGCCCGACTACGCTATTGTCTTCTGGTTCCTACCAGCTATACGCCGTTGGCGGCGGCCATTACTGCAGCTGGGGTGTCTCGGGGGCCGCGACCTGGTCCCTGGCTGCGTCAAGTCCATCCCCACCATCGGGGGCCCTGGTGAAGGGCAGCCTGGGACTTAGACTCCACGCCCCCGAGACACCCCAGCTGCAGTAATGGCCGCCGCCAATGGCGTATAGCTGGTAGGAACCAGAAGACGGTTGTCGTCAGTCGGTGCGTGACCCTGCCATTAGGCCTGCCTGTCCGTTCCACAGCTCCTGCCCTGACAGCATGTTTTTCATGGATTAACGGTGCCTTATGGCAGGCTGTGGCCAGTTGGGTGCACCAGCGCCCCTGTGTGCATGTGGCTACAAGTTGTGCATGGGTGCAGGGCAGCGCCGTGCACTCGCCGGGCCAGCAATACAGGAGGAAAATTTAAACACCTAATTATTCATCACACTTAGCGCCAAACATGGTAAACTGGTTATTGGCTTGTGAGCATTGGATTACCACTATTTATACTAGCTCTTTTGAACTTGAACTCTTTTTGGATAATTCTGAGGTGGCTCCATGTGATACTACAGAGATACCATTGGTGAGCATTTTATAATACTTTAACATTTTTATATGCTCTCTTTTTATTGGGATGAGTTTGTGTCTTCCTATATAGGTTCACATACGTATGTCTTGTTACTTTTACCTGGATTGGACTTACAGTGCATCCAGAAAGTATTCACAATGCTTAACTTTTGCCATATTTTGTTATGTTACAGCCTTATTCCAAAAAGGAATTAATTTTTTTAACAGGACAGGTTCCACTCACAACAGACTTTGCCATGGTCGACCAAAGAAGTTGAGTGCACAAGCTTAGCGTCATATCCAGAGGTTGTCTTTGGGAAATAGACATATGAGTGCTGCCAGCATTGCTGCAGAGGTTGAAGAGGTGGGGGTCAGCCTGTCAGTGCTCAGACCATACGCCGCACACTGCATCAAATTGGTCTGCATGTCGTCCCAGAAGGAAGCCTCTTCTAAAGATGATGCACAAGAAAGCCTGCAAACAGTTTGCTGAAGACAAGCAGACTTAGGACATGGACTACTGGAACCATGTCCTGTGGTCTGATGAGACCAAGATAAACCTATTTGGTTCAGATGGTGTCAAGCATGTGTGGGCGGCAACCAAGTGAGGAGTACAAAGACAAGTGTGTCTTGCCTACATTCAAGCATGGTGGTGGGAGTGTCATGGTCTGGGGCTGCATGAGTGCTGCCTGCACTGAGGGAACCATGAATGCCAACAACCTGTGAAGCTCTGGTGAACTCCATGCCCAAAAATGGGAAATGGTGTACTCACTTCTGTGAGATACTGTAAGTATTCACAGCCTTTGCTCAATACTTTGTTGAAGCATCTTTAGCACCAATTACAGCCTCAAGTCCTTTTGAGTATGATGCTACAAGTATTGCACACCTATTTTTGGGCAATTTCTCCCATTCTTCTTTGTAATTCCCTCTCAAGCTCCATCAGGTTGTTCAATCGGGTTCAAGCCTGGGCTCTGGCTGGGCCACTCTAGGACATTCACAGAGTTGGCCTGTAGCCACTCCTTTGTTATGTGGGCTGTGTGCTTAGGGTCGTTATCCTGTTGAAAGATGAACCGTCGCCTCAGTCTAAGGTCTGGAGCGCTCTGGAACAGGTTTTCATCAAGGATGTTTCTGTAAATTGCTGCATTCATCTTTCCTTCTATCCTGACTAGTCTCCCAGTTCCTGCCGCTGAAAAACATCCCCACAGCATGATGCTGCCACCACCATGCTTCACTGTAGGGATGGTATTGGCTAGGTGGTGAGTGTAACAAACTTGCTCATCAGCGTTGGACATGGAGTTCCCCTTTTTTTATTAGAAGTATTCCTCAATCCTTTATTCTCATTCCCCCTCCCTTCCTGAGAGGCACAGTGACACATGGTGGGCTGGTATGGGTCAACAACAGGTTAAGGCATCCTTAGTTCGGTGCCGAGCAGTCTGCGAAAGTGTAGCCTTCCTCACCTAAGTCATGATAAGGCCAGTGTTCCTCAGAGAATTGGGAAGTACTGACCCTAGAAACTGTGTAGGCTCACATATCATAAAACAGATAAGGCAGCTTCTCCCAGGAATTGAAAGAGATTGTAACCTCATAAAACCTAACAGTTAAAAGTGACAGAATGAAATGAACATTCCTCAAGTCAGGTTTTCCCCTATGTTTCATGTCATGGATTATGACAGATGTTGGTTCTAATTCAGAGTTCGCTCGACTTACCCCTCCCAATACAGCGTATTGGACAGTATTCAGAGCCCCCCCCCCCCCCCCCCCCCCCCCCCCCCTGCAGGGGGACTTTAAAAGACAGGCTGGCAAGCCTAAAGAGTTAAGCTAAAGACATCTCCTAATTTTTAACATCGTAACAGCAGGAGATCAAAGACCCTTTAGCTCTGCAACTTGGATCTGCTTACCTTAAGGCTGAACATGGCAAGTAACTTATCCTTTAAACTTCTCCCTGTTATCTCTGTGCTGAGCTGTTTTCTATGCATATATATATCTTAGTTACATTTTCTTTGTAAATATTTTATTGCACCTGTTTGACTCTTTTAGTAATAAATCTTTCTTTCTGAAAGTGTTAAACTGTTTCTAAGCGCTTACTTGCAATTCACAAATTCCTGCCTTTTGAAGAGACGCTACTGTGTTTGTTTAATCCTCTGCCCAATCGGCCTGCAGTGACCGTATTGGACAGGCGACCTTTCAACCATTACAGCGTATATTTGATAAAGAGAGTTTCCCCTTTCCCTGTACAAAAAGGGGTGGTGGCAGTGAAGGGTTAGTTGCGTAATTAACCCGACCCAGTAACAAGCGCATTCAGGCTGCCGATGCGTCGATTGCGTTCCATTAGCTGGAAAATCGTTGTGCATGGCACAGCTGAGTGTGGCATTGTTACGCACGTCACATCGCGGTTTTAGATCGGCTGGTCCTTTGGTCACAAGTTTGGTGAGAAGGTCTGGGGTCTGACGCCGCGGGCGTGACGTATTATTGTTGGTCGCGGTCGTGCGATCGTCGCATGTTGAAGGTAGCGATTGGGCGATCGTGACAGTGAGCGGTGGCTGGTTTCCTCCAGACATGATGTTTGGCATTCAGGCCAAATAACTGAATCTTTGTTTCATCAGACCAGAGAGTTTTGTTTCTCATGGTCTAAGAGTCCCTCAGGTGCCTTTTGGCAAACTGCAGGCGGGCTGTCATTTGCCTTTTACTGAGGAGTGGCTTCCGTCTGGCCACTCTACTATACAGGCCTGTTTGGTGGAGTACTGTAGAGATGGTTGTTCTTCCGGAAGGTTCTCCTCTCTTCCACAGAGAAACTCTGGAGCTCTTTAAGAGTGACAGTCGGGTGCTTGGTTAGCTGCCTGGCTAAAGCCCTTCTCCCTCGATCGCTCATTTTGGCTGCCTCTAGGGAGATTCCTGGCGGTTCCAAACTTCTTCCATTTATGGATGATGGAGGCCACTGTGCTCATTGGGACCTTCAATCCTGATGAAATGTTTCTGTACCTTTCTGTCTCGGAAGTCTACGGACAATTCCTTGGACTTCATGGGTTGGTTTGGTTGTGCTCTAACATGCACTGTTAACTGTGGAACCTTATATAGACAGGTTTATGCCTTTCCTAATCATGTCCTATCAACTGAATTTCCCAAGGTGGACTCCAATCAAGTTGTGGAAACATCTCAAGGATGATCAGTGGGAACAGGATGCACCAGAGCTCAATTTTGAGTGTCATGGCAAAGGCTGTGAATACTTACCGTATTTTCCGGCTTATAAGATGACTGGGCGTATAAGACGACCCCCTACTTTTCCTGTTAAAATATAGGGTTTGAGCTATACTCGCCGTATAAGACTACCCCTCTTCCAACGCACACCAAATAAAAATGAAAAAACATCAGATTTGATTTCAATATGGTATGCTATTTCAGTATGGTATTCCAATGATGGGGTGCTATTCCTCCCACTGACACCAATGATGAGGCACTACTCCTCCCACTGACACCAATGATGGGGCACTATTTCATCCACTGACACCAATGATGGGGCACTATTCCTCCCACTGATACCAATGATGGTGCCCCATCATTAGTGTCAGTGTGTGAGGAATAGTGCCCCATCATTAGTCAGTGGGAGGAATAGTGCCCCATCATTAGTCAGTGGGAGGAATAGTGCCCATCATTAGTCAGTGGGAGGAATAGTGCCCCATCATTGGTGTCAGTGTGTGAGGAATAGTGCCCCATCATTAGTCAGTGGGAGGAATAGTGCCCATCATTAGTCAGTGGGAGGAATAGTGCCCCATCATTGGTGTCAGTGGGAGGAATAGTGCCCATCATTGGTGTCAGTGGGAAGAATCGTGCCCCATCATTGGTGTCAGTGGGAGGAAGTGTCCCCATCATTAGTGTCAGTGGGAGGAATAGTGTCCCATCATTGGTGTCAGTGGGAAGAATAGTGCTCCATCATTGGTGTCAGTGGGAGGAATAGCAGCCCATCATTGGTATCAGTGGGAGGAATAGCACCCCATCATTGGTATCAGTGGGAGGAATTGCACCCCATCATTGGTGTCAGTGGGAGGAATAGCGCCCCATCATTGGTGTCAGTGGCAGGAATAGCGCCCCATCATTGGTATCAGTGGTCAGGAATTGCGCCCATCATTGGTGTCAGTGGGAGGAATAGCGCCCCATCATTGGTATCAGTGGCAGGAATTGCGCCCCCATCATTGGTGTCAGTGGGAGGAATTGCGCCCCATCATTGGTGTCAGTGGGAGGAGGAATAGTGCCCCTTTGTTGGTATCAGTGGGGAGAATAGTGCCCCATCGTTGGTATCAGTGGGGAGAATAGTGCCCCATCGTTGGTATCAGTGGGAGGAATAGTGCCCCAACATTGGTATCAGTGGGGAGAATAGTGCCCCATCATTGGTGTCAGTGGGGAGGAATAGTGCCCCATCATTGGTAGTGAGAATAGTGCCCCATCATTGGTATCAGTGGGGAGAAATAGTGCCTCATCCCCATCATGGTGTCAGTGGGGGAGGAACAGTGCCTCATCGTTGGTGTCAGTGTGGAGGAGGAATAGTGCCCCATCGTTAGTGTCAGTGGGGGGAGGAGCGGCTGCTCTTTCTTCCAGTTCGGCCGCTCGATCTTCGCGGGGCTGCTCGGCTCCGCCTCCTCGTCGGTGATTGGTCGCCTGTGTGCCTTTCCAGTGCTGGCGCCCAATCATTGTACAGCTACAAATTCCATAGTTTGCAAGGGGGGGGATAGGAACACTGCTCATGAGACCCTCACAGGATAGCTGTCGTGTACAGCTTCCATGTCTCTATTGCAGACAATTGTTACAAGAGCGTACTCGACTACAGAGCTGGAGCCGGCTGGATGAACAGGATGCAGGGTCAGGCAAACTGGTTTAGCAACAGACAGGAAGATCGGACATAAACAGCAGGAAAGAGAGGAGCCAGGTCACAGGCCAATGTCAGCAACAGTAGAGGCAGATCAGACAGAGATAGTAAGCAGAGACAGAATCCAGAGAACACGCCAAGGTCAGGGCAGGTAGCTGATAAGTCAGTAGCAAGCTGGGTCGAGATCAAAGTTCAGGCACTGGAATCAGTATAAACACACGTAGAAGCTGCAGACAAAACAGCAATTAGCCAGTACAGTAGTCCTGTTTAAATAGGCCGTTTGGTGCCAGTCTTGTTAGTTGTATGTGCGAGTGTGCATTCACGCGTGCTCAAGTGTGTGCACCTATGCTCATTCTTCTGCATGTCTGTCTGGCCAGTTGCTGGTCTGCACATGCGAATTCTTATGCGCCGGGAAACTTTATCTGCACTATGAGCGAGCCTTTCCAGGCAGTCAGTTAGGGTGGAAGGCAGAGGCATGGTCAGTTGAGACAGCAGGCAAATTATCAGTACAGATATTAGAAGTAGGAAAATGGCAGGCTGTTAAAAAAATGGGCACTATCCCTTCACTAATATTTTAGTGACGTGTGATAACGTTGGAAGCAGTCTCCGATGCATAGGCCCAGTTGGGAAATTGGGGACAATAAAAACTGGTGTCTCTCCTAGCTCCCCCTCTGCTGCATACCCAACAATTTTTTTGGCATCTTCTGCTGATTTCTGAGGGTGGAATGTTCTCTGGAAAATGTCACCCATGAAGTCTGCTGACAGAATCACAGCAAATGTTTTCTGGTGGAGATCCTTGCTAGTATATTTTCTATAAGTTTGAGAAAAGTGGTGGGTTGTTCCGTGAAATAGCGAAATGAAAAAGGTAAATTTAAAACATTTTAATACCAGTAGAGGGACTTTCTTGCTGATAAACAGGGCTGTAGCATCTGATCGTTGAAATACACCCCCCTCCCCCCATGAACAGGTGATTGTGGATGCACTCAGGTTTTCGGATGGGGCCACGTCTTCAATGAATTTCCATTGAGGTGTTATTGTGGATGGTGGACAGGATGTATACATCTCTCTTTTATCCTTTCACTTAATGGCCATCACTTCATCGTTCCTCAAACCCACTGATTTTCCCCCTTTGTTGCCTTGTGGTTACTAGACTTTGTGGGGAAACCCTTCCTTTTTGTGTTGCTCTGCAGGGCAAGGTTTTCTGGAGGTACAGGTGCTGAAAAAGGAGCAGACTTGTGAAAAAGTTATTTAGGTAGATGTGATACCTTTTTTGAATAGTGGAAATGCCAGGTCCCAGACAATTTTTCCACTTGTGCCAATGAAGGTTGGGCCCTCAGGGGGCTGGAGCTGGGAATGGTTGCCTTGATACACACAGAAGGCATACACATATCCTGTGGCTCTTTCACACAGCTTGTAGAGCTTCACTCCATATCTTGCCCTCTTAGTGGGAATGTACTGCTTCAGCCGGCAAGTGAAGTGGCCAGGGGGCCTTGTCCACACAGATGTTTTTGTCAGGGACATACATTTCAGCGAATCTTTGAGGGAAAATTGAGCTAGTGGGAAAATATGGTAGAGCTTAGCCCAGCCAGGCTGATCTCAGAGAGTGCACTGTGTATTAGCACTGAAATGGAGGAAGTTCATGATCATGTCATAGCGTGACCTGAACATTACAGCTGAATAAATGGGCATGTGATGAATGGGGTGAGTGGACCAGTAAGCATCTCCTTCATTTATTTTGTAAGCCACATGTTAATTGTAAGGCCCAAAAATAATTTGAACTCCTCCATTCAAACAGATGGGCATAGGATGAATTGGGGTTATTTGTGATATATTGCTAGCCAAAAAGATTGGTCTAGTTCAAAATCAACTGAATTTTTTGTGAAAATAAATACAAAAAAATGTCAGTGTTGGTCTTAACACCTTGCTGTGTAGTAAAAGGGGGGATTGTAGCTGATCCTGAGTTGGAAGGCATAATAGGTTTGCAAGTGTGTCTGGGAGATATGCATACGCCCTAATTCTTGAGGTCTGATGTGATACCCCAGTGCTAGTACTGGGCCTTTAATCCAGTGATTTAGCGCCGTTGGTGTTTGCCAATTCACCGGTAGGGTGTGTGGCACAGCTGGTGGTTGCCTAGTCTTCAGAGTGTCTTACCCTTTTAGGAGGGACTGTTTCCAATTTTCTCACTGAACCACTACTTTCGACAGGGTTGTCCTGCGAAGCGGAATTGAATGGTGAGAGCTCCCCACTGCTCTCATCCGTCATACTAAGGATTTGAAATACCTCCTCACTAGTATAACATTTTTTGGACATGGCTGCCTCTGGTGACACTGGAACATGTACACTGCTTATGATGGCTGTGTGATGAGTACCGTATATACTCGAGTATAAGCCGAGTTTTTCAGCACATTTTTTGTGCTGAAAAACGGCCCCTCGGCTTATACTCGAGTCAACATCTGCAGATAGTGGGGCGTGCCCCCCAGGGGGGGCGCGAGGCTCCGTCAAGGGGGGCGCGTACAGGGGTGGGCAGAGGGCTGCTGTCTCTAACCTGGCTCCCGATGATCCATCCAGGAAGCGCTGCTCCTTCCGTCACTCCGGCCACTCCCTCACTCCTGCCGCTCGGCTCCGCCTCCTCACAGGTGATTGGCCGCCAGAACTGTAGCTCAGGAAAGGTACACAGGCGGCCAATCACGGGCGAGGAGGCGGGAGCCGAGCGGACCCGCGAAAATCGAGTGAGGGAAAAGCCGGTAAGTGTGCAGTGCAGAGGTGCTGCTGCAACCACATATGCTGGCTGCAGCAGCACCATACTGCAACAGGGGTCAGCAAGTGTCATTGGTGTCAGTGGGAGGAATAGTGCCGCATCATTGGTGTCACTGATACTAATGATGGGGCATTATTCCTCCCACTGACACCAACGATGGGGCACTATTCCTCCCACTGACACCAATGATGGGGCACTATTCCTCCCACTGACACCAATGATGGGGCACTATTCCTCCCACTGATACTAATGATGGGGCATTATTCCTCCCACTGACACCAACGATGGGGCACTATTCCTCCCAGTGATACCAATGATGGGGCACTATTCCTCCCACTGACACCAATGATGGGGCACTATTCCTCCCACTGACACCAATGATGGGGCACTATTCCTCCCACTGATACCAATGATGGGGCACTATTCCTCCCACTGACACCAATGATGGGGCACTATTCCTCCCACTGATACTAATGATGGGGCACTATTCCTCCCACTGACACCAATGATGGGGCACTATTCCTCCCACTGACACCAATGATGGGGCACTATTCCTCCCACTGACACCAATGATGGGGCACTATTCCTCCCACTGACACCAATGATGGGGCACTATTCCTCCCACTGATACTAATGATGGGGCATTATTCCTCCCACTGACACCAACGATGGGGCACTATTCCTCCCAGTGATACCAATGATGGGGCACTATTCCTCCCACTGACACCAATGATGGGGCGCTATTCCTCCCACTGACACCAATTTTTTACATTGACTAGTAGGTGCCTCATTTCCCACCCTCGGCTTATACTCGAGTCAATAGTTTTTCCCAGTTTTTTGTGGTAAAATTAGGTACCTCGGCTTATATTCGGGTCGGCTTATACTCGAGTATATACGGTATATTACTGATGGCGCCTGTGTAACAGGTACACTGCTAATGGCAACTCTGTGACAGGTACACTGCTGATAGGCGGCACTGATGGGTGCTGTGTGACATGTACACTTTATTCCAGGGCTGATCAGGGCAGTTAGGTATTGTGCACAGTACTGACAGGGTTAAATCAGGTAGCTCATGGTTCACGGATTCTCCTCCTTCCCACAAAGGATCTGTGTGTGAGAAGGAGAAGTCAGTGAGTTAGCAGTCTTTGTTTACACTTATGATTGGCTGTGATTGGATAAAGTGATCACATGGTAAAGAGCCATTGTCATTGGCTCTTTACCTTGATCGGTGATGCACTGTGTCCGAGGGACACAGCTCACCACTGATCACCTTGCTGTGCACCCCTGGGGAAGCGCATGAGTGGTAAGTTTGGGAGGACATCATATCACGTCCCCTCAGAATGGGGAATATTCAGAACCCGTTAAGCGATGATACATACAGTGGGGCAAAAAAGTATTTAGTCAGCCACCAATTGTGCAAGTTCTTCCACTTAAAAAGATGAGAGAGGCCTGTAATTGGCATCATAGGTAGACCTCAACTATGAGAGACAAAATGAGAAAAAAATCCAGACAATCACATTGGCTGATTTGGAAAGAATTTATTTGCAAATTATGGTGGAAAATAAGTATTTGGTCAATATCAAAAGTTCATCTCAGTACTTTGTTATATATCCTTTGTT